ATCAAGGATTTCATAAATTGCATACCACTAAACCAATTGGTAAAATTCAATTCTTTTGGTAAAAATATTTCTTTCGCCTCTACTGTGAGACAATTTATAATTGCAAGAGTTAATTAATGACCATATAGGCAACTTTGAAGAAAAAGAAATGATGTATCCTTATCAAATATTGAAGATTTTGAATGAATCAACCATAGTTTTCAATCTGTCTTTCATTTTCTCCCATCTCTTCTCATTCGCTCCTGTTGTCAACTTGTAGAAGTTTCTGCAGCAACATTTATCTCCGAGTTAAACATACGGTGCATGTTCATTATGTAGTATTGAATAGGATTCGACACTACAATTAATAACTTTTTGGCTTATTTTTCTTTCTTATACCTTCCAATACTATATTCATCCCTCTGCCTAATCCACACAATTATGAGAACAGGGGGTACGTAGAAATCGTTTCGATCACACGAGTATATCAAGAATGCATACGAGAATTTGTGTTTCCGTGTGATTTGTTCCACAATAAATTAGCATTTAATCAGTAATCCTTGACACAATTAAGAACAGTAGAACAAGACAAATATGATTAACAGTCACTTCGAGACATGCTATGAATAAACTTCTAATATCATACTTGTAACGCCCCAAGATCTTTTTCATTTTTATTATTATTTTTAAATAAAATAGCTCGAGGTGTTATCAACATCTTCTTTGTCTAATTTAAACGGAAATAACACTTTCATTAAGTGTTGAAAATGCATAAAAATAGCTATTAAACAATGTGCACAAACTTTAATATGAAAATGTCCTTCAAGTAAAAATTTGACAATTATCTTTTTTAGAAAATTTACTTGGTGATCCCATAAGCATCACTCGGTCAATCCACCACGCGTTCACACGACCCGTTCTAATATAAAATTTTAGTAAGAGTGAATATTTTGAAAACACTCAGTAAGAATACATACACATTCTCATTCACATGATATAAGTATGAAACTGACATAACATACCGACATTTCTTAGGTTTAGAGCTCAAGGAATTTCTTAAAAATCCCCATATCCCGTAGGATTTAACATCCTTGACCAAACGGTTCATTCCGAGGGATTTAACATAGAGTTCAACCCGAAAGTCTCATAGCATTTTATGCCAACATTTTATACAAACACCAAGAAATAATAATTTACCAGTTTGCATGATGTATTCTTACCTTGATTGATATGAAAAATTCTAAACCATGAGTTGAGATTGATGGACAAAATGAAATGTGTATAAGTATGAAAATGGAAAAAATGATGCCTGTTTATATAAAATTCTCAAGGTAACTTAAATCAATAATTTCATATTAAACACTTGAAAATCAAAATCCTTCCACAATTAATTAAGAACTATATTAATTAGTTATTGTTAATGGGATAATTATGTTTTATTAATTATAATGTATTACAACCCTTTCATATCTCAAACTCCAACACATGCTATTACTTTCATTTCATTATTTTATTATTATTTACATCTGGATTTTATTAATAAAATATATAAATCTAGAATACTTCTTTATATCAACTTAACTCGGGTATAACTAATCTAAAAATATTTCTTCTTAAGCCAATTTATGTTATTTAATACGAGATACAAAATGAGTATCATATCGATATGTTTTTTTTTTATGAACTTTTAAATACTTAAATATTCAACCCAACTAACTTTCGATAAAATTTTAAAAGTATATGTAAGCAAATAAATCATTTATGCAAATGAGTAGGTCAAGTTTATCACTTTAACTTTTGAACTCTAGTGTGACAACAAGGATATGTATAGACTATTTCATTTGCTAGATAACCATTATTAAATTTAGGTCCATGTGAAAAATAGTAAGAAAAATTCGAGGTGTTACATCCTTTCCCCCCTTAAATTAATTTCGTACTCGAAATTATCTTATTTAGTCAAAAAGCTCTGATATTTCTAACGGTCTGATAAGTTCGAGCCATGCATATCACATAAATGTTCAATTATGCTTTATCTTTGTTATTGATAACAAATTATACATTTTGCTCTTACACTTTTCATATAATGACTAATAATCAAATTTGTATAACATAATTCATTCTAAAGATTATAAGCATTTCTTGAAATCAAGCTTAAATGATTCATATATCATGTTTGAAAATAAAATGAAACATAATATTTCATCCATACCTTAGGTTCATCGAATGGTGGTAGATTGACGAGCGCTAAATATCATGGGTCTTATTTTAATACTTGTTTTAATAAAAATCTTACACAAGCAAGATAAACAAGTAGACATGTATTGACCATAATTAGAAATCATTTTTTTTCATCTCTTTTTGCGCGATTGCAAGCTAAATAAATCAGGATAACAAAAAGTAAGTTCAATTTTCATTGATCAAGATTTCTTTTCAGGTGTTTGCAGTTCAATAATAATTTATGCAATATCTGACGAGTTCATGAAAGAAAAACAAATTAATCCCTGAAGGTATCAAAGTACACTAATAAAGGTGACTCCAAGAAAGACCACTTTTTTTTACCTTGCAATTTAGCTTCTTTTAAATTTTGATTTTATTATTACAAGGAAATTAAACATTTAAACTGTTTATTCAAGTAAATTCTAGTAATTTCACAATCAAAACAAAAATTATATATTTATTTTTCATGCAGACCACTAGGTCATTTATCATTCTAAGAGAAAATAATTTATACATGTAAATCACATTCGAACATGATGAAGAAATATGCATATTTTTTTCTTAAAAAACAAATGACGAGTCTACAGAATTGATTGAACTCGGGCTTTGATACCATTTTGTAACGCCCCGAGATCTTTTTCATTTTTATTATTATTTTTAAATAAAATAGCTCGAGGTGTTACCAACATCTTCTTTGTCTAATTTAAACGGAAATATCACTTTCATCAAGTGTTAAAAAGGCATAAAAATAGCTATTAAACAATGTGCACAAAATTTAATATGAAGATGTCCTTCAAGTATAAGTTTGACAATTATCTTTTCTAGAAAATTTACTTGGTGATCCCATAAGCATTACTCGGTCAATCCGCCACGCGTCCACAGAACCCGTTCTAATATGAAATTTTAGTAAGAGTGAGTATTTTGAAAACACTCAATAAGAATACGTACATATTCTCATTCACATGATATATGTATGAAACTGACATAACATACCGACATTTTTTAAGTTTAGAGCTCAAAGAATTTCTTAAGATTCTCCATATCCAGTAGGATTTAACATACTTGACCAAACGGTCTATCCCGAAGAATTTAACATAGAGTTCGACCCGAAGGCCTCATAGCATTTTATGCCAAAATTTTATACAAACACCAAAGAATAAGAATTTATTACTTTGCACGATGTATTCTTACCTCGATTGATATGAAAAATTCTAAACCATGAGTTGAGATTGATGGACAAAACGAAATGTGTAAAAGTATGAAAATGAAAAAAAATGACGTCTATTTATATAAAATTCTCACGGTAACTTAAATCAGTAATTTCATATTAAACACTTGAAAATCAAAAGCCTTCCACAATTAATTAAGAACTCTATTAATTAGTTATTGTTAATTTGATAATTATGTTTTATTAATTATAATGTATTACAACCCTTTCATATCTCAAATTCCAACGCATGCTATTACTTTCATTTCATTATTTTATTATTATTTACATCTTGATTTTATTAATAAAATATATAAATCTAGAATACTTCTTTATATCAACATAACTCGGGTATAACTAATCTAAAAATATTTCTTCTTAAGCAAATTTATGTTATTTAATACGAGGTACAAAATGAGTATAATATCGATATTTTTTTTATGAACTTTTAAATACTTAAATATTCGACCCAACTAACTTTCGATAAAATTTTAAAAGTATATGTAAGCAAATAAATCATTTATGCAAATGAGTAGGTCGAGTTTATCACTTTAACTTTTGAACTCTAGTGTGACAACAAGGATATGTATAGACTATTTCATTTGCTAGATAACCATTATTAAATTTAGGTCCATATGAAAAATAGTAAGAAAAATTCGGAGTGTTACAATACTAAAAAAGAGACTCAACTGAAGCCTTTAGAGCACAAAGATGAATGCACATAGTGAAAGATTCAAACTCGATCCTAAACAAATATGCGGAAACAAATTGGATCAAGAAGTCAAAAATCTTGCGGATTGAAAATGGTACCTCTCGCCATTGATGTATCTTGGAAAGCTTCTTTACTCCATGTAATGGTTCTTCCAAACTCTCAACACACTTTATTTGATGGTGTATACTATATTTTGGGTGTGTGGAGCTTGGGGACCAAAACGGGACAAGAAATGGAATGGGGCGAGATTGGCTCAACGCGAACCATCAATCTTGGAGTTTTCAAATTTGTTCCTGGAGGATTTGAGATTCTCTTAATTGGAAATTTCAACATTCTCCCACTTGGTCCACACGTTTAACCCAATCTCTTAACTTAATCACATTCAATATAATCCTTAAGAAACAAATACATGAATCATGGCGATAAGTTCTCTAATAATGGTTATTACCTTCCATGTATTACAATGTACTAATTTCCGAAGTATTCTTTATGTGGCAACTTTTGCTTAATGAATAAACCTTATGACTATTCTTGGTTTTATAAAGATATATTTTCTCAAATAAATTAAAGCGAGCATGAATATGGGAAAATATCACAATAAATAAGAATTTCATTAAAATAACATTGTTTACACGATGAAAAATTACATAATGGAACCAAGTCCCATTGACACTACATGATCCTTGAATTTCAGTGGTGGCATGCCCTTAGTCAAAGGATCAGCGATTATCAAATTAGTGTTGACGTACTCAATGACCACTTATTTTCTTTAATACGTT